CTTAGCCTCCTGGCAGTCTTGTGTTCGGCGAAGCGCCCCGGCACAATGTCGGCGCTATGAAAGCGGATATGTTTGGCTTTTGTCACAGGATACGTCTCCTGGTACGCGCTTCTGGTGAAGTCTGCCTGAGGTACAACCTGATGAAGTTCGGCGAGCAAGTCTTCGTGAAGCTGTAGAATCTGGGAGATATTCTGTTGTATGGATGATCGTGTCTGGCCTGACAGAGTAGGAAGGGCAGTAAGGATCATGAAATAGTCCTGCTTAGATTAGAATGGTAGAGTCAACCCGGTGGTAGGTAACATACGTTGATCAAGACCTTGAGGTCTGCAATGTAGCTCTCTTCCGAGGAGATCAGCTCCTCAACAACCTTGCGACGCTGCAGTGATCGAAGCCACGCGCTCTCATCAAGCACAGGCCCTAGCGCACCACGATGACTCTCGAGTGATCTGCGCGCTTCGGAGTAATTGCTGCTTCTGTTACCCAAGCGAACCTTCCCTGGTACTCCAGCTTCTGAGCGTGGCGCAATGCTCGCGCTGCCGATGGTCATCGAAGTCGACTTCATTGCTGTCACATAGCCCATTGACGATGTCATAGACTCCGATGTCCTGCGCACAGATTCAGACAGCCTTCCCAGCGGGCGAGAGAGGACAGACATGCCGTCAGCGGTGTCAAAGGATAGCCGTGGTATTTCAGCGACGTTGTCCCTCCACCTGTGCGCGTGTCGACGCCTCAAAGTGCTCATCCACCGCCGAAAGGGTTGTGAAGATACAGAGATAGTCGCAGGCGCGTCTTCGTAGTCTTCGCGCGGCTCATCTTCGTCATTATCGGTGAAGCGACCTTCTGGCAATGGCACGTGTATTGCTTCGTATAGATTGAACAGGTGTGTCTCTTCGAAGGCGTGGTCGTCAACGTCCATGTCATCAGCCGAGCTGTCGCTGTCAGAGGAAGGTTCCGCTATTTGCTGCGAGCTGTGATATCCTCTCGCTTGTGGCCTCGGCGGGACTGTGAGTCTCGAGAAAGATGGCGGCGGTCGGTCAGGCCCACAGTTCCGCTTGCGTGGTTCTTCGATGACATGTCTGGTACTGAATGGGAAACCTCCTTTCTCAGGGACCAGATCGAGGAGCGACTGAGAGGTAAGTGGTGGTGTGTTCTCGTTGCTCCGAGACCAGTCGCCTGCCCTAGTCGCCCCGAGGGAATACAACGAGCACGCGGAAGCATTGCGAGCAGTAATGTCGCTCAGTGGTGGCAGTAGTGTGTCTTTCTGAGGGGAGCAGGAGTTGAGGTATGGATTGTCGCTGAAGGACCGCTTGAGTGGGCTCTGAGGCCGGAGCGACAACACATATGCCATGTCCGTGGTCGTACGGTCGACACTGGATAGGACGGTACGAAGGCTTTCAGCGCATGAGATAAATACTACTGCATCCAACGACGATGGCTTAAGGAGAGACAAGTGAGCTGCAGAGCGATAAGGAAGTTGGCTGAGGCATTTTGGATATGACTACTGGTTAGGACGGGAGGAAAGCGCAGAGGCGCAAAGTTCTCAAGAGCGTAATGGCGGCATCTAAGGGAAAGGGTCCAGACGGCGCTCAGTAAAGCGCATTCTACACAAGCTTACCGAGAGCCATGGACAGAGTTTCGTTAGGGGCGAGTGGTGAGCCATCGACGAAGGCAGCTAACATGGCGGCCGCGTTGCTCTCACCAAATTTTGGTAACCGCGTCTCACTATGACGGCAGGAGCGGCGGAGGTGCAGAACAAGTATGTCTATAGCCGAGCCGAGCCATCGCAAGATTGAGCATACTAAGCGACTGGAGTATTCTCTTTATTTGGCACGCAAGAGGTCACGCGCGTGCCTTGGGGATAGTAAAGTTTGGTAGAGAAGTGAGGGAGGAAAAAGGAAGGCGACCGTCCTGGCGGTTTTGCCCCGCGCGGCTCAAGCTCCCTCAAGCTCCCACCCCCACATCCAAGCTCCAGCGTAGTAAGCATTCACGCACTCAACTCTGCGGCGGCGACAAACATCTGCACACCATGGATGATATACACGCGCCAACCGTCTCATCTGGGCCCACGTCTGCAGGCTACTCCAATGGCATACCAAAAGAGCAGCTGACGCTGCAGGAGCTCATGGCCGAGAAGGACCGAGTAGAGACAGAGTTGAAGGCATTAGGGCAGGTGCTGGATTCGGTACGCAAATCAGGGCTATGGGCGGGATAAGCAGTTGACGTCTTGTTGTAGCATGGCGTCCGCATGAGCACCGGCCTGACCACCCTGGACGGCTTTCCACGCAGTGATATCGACGTCCCCCAGAGTAAGGAGCGGTGATCTTCGACGTCACTCAGGGTCGCTGACCGTCGCAGTCCGAACCACGCGCGCGCGCATCATACGGCTGAAGAATGACTACAAGGACCTCATGTCGCGCATCGAGAAGGGCCTCCACGAGCACCACGCGCGGCTGGCAGCGCAGGCGGGCGACGCGACGACGGCCAACGGCGCCCAGGCAGGGCTGAGCGCACCGCCTGCCGCACTCGAAGCGCCCTTTGCAAAGGTCAACAGCGTCGTCGCAGACAGCCCAGCAGCGACGGCCGGCTTACAGGTGTACGACACCATAACCAAGTTCGGCTGGGTGGACTGGACAAACCACGAGAACCTGTCGCGCGTGGCCGAGGCCGTGTCGCAGAACGAAGGGGTACGTCGCATCACGCTGCACAGGATGCTGTCTTCAGTCGGGCGTGCAGCAGGCTGACAAGTGCAGATTCCCATTACCGTCAAGGCGCTGCGACCCAACCCATCGGGCGGCCCGGCAGAGACAGTTGAGATGCAACTCACACCGCGGAGGAACTGGGGCGGAAGGGGGCTGTTGGGCTGTCACTTGCTGCCCATGTAGTGTATTATAAATCACGAGATACGTCGAGCTGGGAGATACGTCGAGTGGATGGGTGGCAGGCAAGGCTGGCGGCAGCGCGCGTGGCGCACTCGGTTTGGCCAACAAGCATAGCATGATACCCGGCGTTGTTTGCTTTGGGATGAAAAGATCAAGGAATTGCTAGTAAATATGGCAGTAAATCACAATCTATGACTACAAAGGCGCAAGGAAAACCCGGGCTGTTGAGACAAAGAAGCCTATAGCTGCCTAACGCTGCCTCTGCCTCTGCCTCTGCCTGCCTGCCTGCCTGCCTGTGAGGTCAAAATTGCGGAAGGCGCCAAGAGATTTACACCGCCCGGGGCGCCAACACTTCAGCACAACAAAACCTCTTCTTGCCCACCTCACGCCCGCTACTTTCCCCACTCTTTATCACCCGTGAGTCTGCACCACCGTCTTTTGCTCAATAACCCTGTGCGACCCCGACTGACATCTTTTTGATAACAGACTCTGCCCACTACCCCCCTCACACACCACATCACCCCGCCACACACCCGACACCATGGCCGAGACTGCCGCAAGCTCAGTCCCTACCTTCAAGCTCGTGCTTGTCGGTGACGGTGGTACCGGAAAGGTATGACGCCCCTCTGGAGCCTTTTCGCGATAGCAGCCCGTTTATTGAGACGGCCGCGCGACTGCGAGACTGCGAGAATTTGAGACTGCGATGCAGGTTGCTAACAGCCCCACCACAGACGACCTTCGTCAAGCGCCATTTGACTGGAGAGTTCGAAAAGAAGTACATTGCGACGCTCGGCGTAGAGGTCCACCCCCTCGGCTTCACCACAGTACGTTGTCCGACCCTCTGCCGCCCGCGCTACGCCTACTAACGAGACGACAGAACCTCGGCCAGATCCAGTTCGACGTCTGGGACACCGCCGGTCAGGAGAAGTTCGGTGGTCTCCGCGATGGATACTACATCAACGGACAGTGCGGTATCATCATGTTCGACGTCACCTCGCGTATCACATACAAGAACGTCCCCAACTGGCACCGTACGTGCGCCCACAACCCCCCGATACGCATTCGCTAACAGCCCCAGGTGACTTGGTCCGTGTCTGCGAGAACATCCCCATCGTCCTCACCGGCAACAAGGTCGACGTCAAGGAGCGCAAGGTCAAGGCAAAGTCCATCACCTTCCACCGAAAGAAGAACCTCCAGTACTACGACATCTCCGCCAAGTCCAACTACAACTTCGAGAAGCCCTTCCTCTGGCTCGCCCGGAAACTCGTCGGCAACCAGTCTCTCGACTTTGTCGCCGCCCCCGCTCTGGCGCCTCCCGAGGTCCAGGTCGACCAGGCCGTTCTCGACCAGTACCGACAGGAGATGGAGAACGCCGCCCAGATGCCTCTGCCCGATGAGGACGACGCCGATTTGTAGATACGGTCATGAGCTTGCTCTAGGCCACGGCTAGGGCTCTAATGGGTATACGACATGGACGAGATTTAGTGGAATGGGACAATGGATATGCAGCTCGAGAATTGAGGACATTCTTGGCGAAAACGGGGCATGCGGAGGAGGACTGGCGGAAGTATCCGACAGGAAGCGCTGGACTAGCCGGCGTTTCGACGAATGAACAATAGACTGTTCCTGATCAACCAGAATATTCAGATTGTGATGGAGAAAGCTTTTCGATTCTACTATTAACACGCACAAGGGCGTTGCGACTACTACTACAACAGCACATTTCGTATCTTCATTATATTCCAACTCCGCTTGCTCGGACTTTTTAATGGAATGCGCCGCCCACCGCCCAGACACGATAGAAGAAATGACGCGTGATGTCAGTATGCTCATAATACGGACAAGCAGAGTCGCATAATAGCGGATTAAAGCGACGACCGAAAAATTGACAAGTAGAAGGCTCGCTCGCTCGCTCGCTCGCTGTAGTCGGGAAACGACCGTTTTCGACGCGCGCGACGGAGACAACGGATGAAAATGATTACAACGCGCAAGTAAAACAAGACGATGCGAGACATAACGAAAGCGAAAAGACAACAAGGTACGTCTACGATTTCAGCATCCTGCGATAACATTAGCCCAAGTCCAAACACAGCAAGCAAGTGTAGAAAAGAAAGCAAGTACTCACGGAGCGATCAACTGCGCATACTGCTGCGTCGGCACACTCCTCCCCTCCTCAATAACGCCCCTAATAACATCATCCTGCTGCAAATTGCTCCAAAGATGTATTGACATCGCCTTCTTACTATTAAACAGCGTGTGCGCCACACCCCTCACCTGCCCGAGCACCACATTCGCAATCGGCCACGTATTGCTATATTGCTGCAACGTACCGACATCGAGCCGGATACTCTGCTTGATGATGTCGTCCTGGCCGTCGGGGACAAGGAAAGACCAGTAGGAGAGGTGCACGACAGACGCCATTACGACGACGCAGGTGAAGAAGGGGGTGTGGTAGAGTAAGGGTCCGGGGAGACGGATTAAGGAGGAGATGTTTTCGGCAGACGTGAGGCATTTCGCGGTGTGGATTTCGCGGGTTTGCGTGGGAAGCAGGACCTGCCCGGGTTGCACGCATATGTTTACGCCTTCGACGCGGCCGAAACCGAGGTTGCTGCGCGGGCGGTGCAGCATTATTGTGCTGCCGGCGTTTACCATGTGGGCCTGGAAGAGCACTTCGTCGATGTGGCCGTCGTTGGAGACGATGTCTGTTTTTGAGGCCGGGAGGTGTAAGCGCCAGTTACACAGGTATTGGTCTACGACGTCGACGGCGTGGTATTCGAAAGTGGAGTCTAGACGCGCGCATTCGAAGACTTTTCCTAGGATGCGGATGGCGTCGATGAGGTAGGTGAAGGAGGAGAAGGTTGTGAAGTGGGGGAGGAAGGCCGAGTCGTCGTAGTCGGAGAGGGTGGAGGGGTAGGGTATTTGCTGTTTGTGGGTTGTTAGTTTAGTGATCTGTATAAGGTTTTGTGTTTGTAGTCCTAGGAGGATGGCTACCCCCACCCCACATGTATGACATGCATCGATCTGCCATTGGGGTATGACATGCAGTCAGATGATCTCATCTCGAGTACCTAAGAGCGGCACGGGTTCGCACTAAGAAGGGAAACATGCCAAGCCGATTTGACACATGTCAGATCTGATGTCAGGGGAGTGGGTACTTACACCTGAGAAGTACTCGACGTTCTCACATGGCAGTGGTACGTCGGTTACGACGTCTTTGAGTCGGAATTGCACGCCCGGGTTGACGGCTGTCATCATGCCGTTGGCCGTGAACATGGACCACCACGTTCTCCGCCAGCTTTCTTCCAGCTGCGGGTCGTTTTCTCCATTCATCAGCGCGAATTCCATCCGGTTGAGCCCGATTTCCAGCGTCAGATTTTGGGCTATGGTGAAGATCTGGGCGGCGCGGGGGACTTCGTTGTGGGCGTGGAGGCCGATGGCGAAGAGGAGCAGGGCTTGGACCGACCACGCATCTCTTGGGTAGTTGTTGCTGTCTATCTGGCGATCTAACGCTTCCTTGTACATGGCCGTAGGCACAGACGGTATGTAGCTGGATCCGATGAAATGCACGGCATGTTCCAAGAGTGGGGCATGTCGTTCCTTGAAGAGTTCCACTAACCTCCGTTCCGGAAGGCAGAATGGATGTGAGTTGTAGAAGAAGTGGTAGAAGGCCTGAACAGCCGTCTCGGGTCCCAAGTGGCCAAACCGGTTCAGACGCGCGGATCCATTTAGGTTGAGTTGAGCAACTGGTGGGGCTACAGGTCGGACGCCAAGACCGTGAGTTGGGCTCAGCTGGTTCATGCCAGCATCGCCGTTGTACGAGTACTCAGGTGACGAGATGTGGCCATTGTTGGCTTGGACTTCAGATGCAGATATTCCTAACTCACGTTAGATTTTGAGATGGTGTGGTCGTTGCGATATTACCCACCATTTGGGGTCGTGGACGCGCCCGTGTCTTCCTTGGTTTTCCGCTTGCCCTTCCAGCCTCTTCGCGACTTGATGTAGGTACATTCCACGTTGTCGGTCCTACATCGGGAACATCGCACACCACCGTCGCATTTCAAGTGTCTACTGCGACATGGGACGCACGCGACAGCGACCGAGGCCCTGGTTTGGTCGTTATTTGACTGCTTCTGGCTGTTCTTCTGGCCGGTCCCTTTGCTGCCGCCGCTGTCCGACTGGGGCGTTTGCGCCGGGGGAGTCCCGCCATTGATGCTGCTCTGGGTGGTGATACTTTGTGTCGGCGACAGATGGAGCCCTAACGAGGGCGACAATGGCGATGTGGAGTCCGGTGAGAAGTCCTGGTGGCCGCCCCAGTAAGTGGGATCTACGCCAGCCGAGATGTTCGAAGGAGCGCCGTTCATGTGTTGCCCCGGCATCGCCATGGCAGAGGGAGGCATCGCAACAGAACGGTCTACGCGCAGGCGATACAGAATCCACGGTATCCAGGTCGGCGTGGGCTTTGCGACTGTGCGTAGGTAGAGACGTTGAGGTTGCAACGGGTGCGGGCTGCTAGTACTGTTGACCCGGCACGTGACGCCCGTCTACTCGGCCTAGCGCTGAAATCGCCAAAAGCTTCCGAAGCCTCCTTCCATCTTGCACCCAATCGGCCGTCTCCGCCCAACTCAAGACGCCAACCGCAGGACGCAAGGAGAGCCTCAGCCTCTTTGTTGTCGGCCCCTATGTGATCGTCGCCCCATTCAGCTCACGACAGCATCTTCTGTGCAACTACCATCGTACCGTCGACCTGGCCGGCCTGCCCCGTTGCCCTTTTGACGCACCGTTGGATCCTGCCGTCGCCTGTACTTCGCTTGTACCGCTTCAACGCAAGCCGGCCGGGACTGAAACGCACAGTTGGCGAATCGGAACTAACGAGCTGTCTCCACGGCACTGCCGTCGTCCATTACTGGGCCGTTTGCGCGCATTCCCGTCACCGCCGTATCGCTAGCCTGGATTCCGCCTTCGCTCTTGCCATTTTATCGTGGGGTTAGTGGTTCTGCGCACGTTCGGCGGAAAGGGTTGAGTGTAGCGAGCCAGCTGAAGTAGTCGCCTCGCCACATGCTCTTACACGTTCCATTGGACTGTCTTAGTCACGGAAATGGTACCGCGCCTGCGACGTAGCAGCACAGTGTGCCTCTAAGATTTCGCCTCGATGCAACCTAGCCTTGGCTCTCGATGCTGCCACAGCCTTATCTGATACCAGCGATGAACCCACCCACACGACGCCAAAAAGCAATCCAGCGTTCGTCTCGATTGGCCAAACTTGGGCTGTCTAGGCGCTGAACGCATATGAAAGGAGGTGAACCTGCGCATTAACTCTAAGCCTCGTCGACTTTCCACTAGGTCTCGCTCATTTCCGTGATCTGGCTACGACGTCCTGTACACTATCAGCCCTGCAGCAACTTTCGGCGGCGATGAACCAGAGTACTGATTGGTCGAATTGATCGTTTGGTGAGAAATTGGGTATTAAATTCGGTGCCTATGGTCTATCTTGCTGAACACACAAGAGAAGAGATGCCGCTGATGCTAGAATATGCAGGGAAAGGATGATGAAGAAAACCGTGCAGGGCCACTCAGCACGCCCCTTGTCTACGACTCTACACACCTAGCTTTAGTGAAGTTCCATACGTCCCCGGAACAGTCATTCAAGGACCTCTCAGCCTTCCACTGCAGCTCGTTCTCTGCTCGTCGCACCTCCGCCACACAGAAGCCAACATCTCCAGCCCTGCGGCCGACTTCCCTGACGGGGATCTTCCGTTGGGATGCGTCCTCTAAACTCTGGAGTACCTCACGGACAGTGTGTCCTCGTCCCGTACCTGAGTCGAAGTCAATACACAGACCTTAGTGTGAGACGTTCTCATATAAGGCCTCCACTTACCAAGGTTGTACGTGCGAAATGGCGCTATAGTACGACCAGCAGTCGAAGCTGCTAAAGCCGCAATGTGGCCCCGAGCCAGATCGACTACGTGGATGAAGTCCCGCACTGCCGTGCCGTCTGGGGTGTTCCAATCCGTGCCGAAGATATCCAGCACTGGCTTTGTCCCTGTCAGGACTGTTGCAATGACTGGAATCAGATTGCTCGGTTTCTGTCGAGGATCTTCACCCAGAATACCAGACTCGTGGCAACCGACCTGGTATTGTTAGGCACACTTCCAATGCATCCTGACCATCGAATGTACATACCGGGTTGAAGTACCGAAGGGCGGTTATGGACCATGTGGGGTCAGAAAGCGCCAGGTCTGCCAGAATGGATTCGCACATGAACTTGGATCGACCATATGGTGATGTGAGGCCCAGAACGCCCGGCAAAACTCGGCGTTCTGCTCCTTCGCTGTCCACGAAAGATTCTGGGTGATGCACGCACAATTCTTCGCGCAGAGGTAGCCCACAGTTAGCGCCTTCGCCATAAACTGTTGCAGAAGAGGAGAACACGAAGTTCTTGATGCCAAACTCCTCCAGCAATCCCAGAAAGTCGACCAGCCCGCAGACGTTGTTGCTGTAGTATCTCAAGGGCATCCGGATGCTCTCTTCAACCGATTTGTACGCCGCGAAGTGGATAACGCCGGATATTCTGGACAGTCTCTCAACGACGGGTTCTTGCGCATCATCCATATCCATGTCGATACCGGAGTCTGTTCTCTGCAAAGTCGAGTATGGGAATCGTGCTGGAGTGGGCGCTGGCTTGCCGATGATCGAATACGATGAATAGCTGGCCAGTACAGTCTTCATGTGCGCACTCCTGTAATCCAGCTGACGGAAGTGCAACGCTGGCATTCGTCGCCCATGTGCCGTGCAGAAGTCAATCGCAAGACCTCGCACCCTGCTCAGAACGCTTTCGTACGAGTTGCTCAAATCATCGATGACAAGCACGTTGTAGCCTTCTTTAAGCAACTCCAACACTGTGTGTGAGCCGATGTATCCCAGCCCACCGACGACCATGATGAAGGTCGACGTGGATCCATCGATGTTCAGAGGATCCGCTACTACATCGTCGTCGAATAGCACCGATCGCTGTGTTCCCGGTGTATTGAGTACTTCCGGTGTGACGGAGGGCGATAGCGAGTACGTCGAAGAGGATGACGACATCTTGCACAATTATGCTTGGCGAATGAACGAATGTATGGAAGAAGAGCGAGCGCGTTGATTGTCACGGCGCTACCTTTCTCGATACGTCCGAAATTCTTTATACGCGCCACAACTCCCAACAACAGCCTCAAATCGCGATCAATTAGGCAGAAGACATCGAAGTCAGACTTTTCCTGCGCCGTCAATATTATTTACATTGCTTGGCATAATGCGGCCTCTTCATCCCGACTCATCAGTTTCGGAGTCTCCTCAGGTCTAGCACTCTCAAAATATACTCTCGCATCGCTAACGATCCCTGTCCAATCTGCATAGCCAAGTGCGCAATACGTACCCGTGTGGTTGCATTGCCGCGTCCTCTAATCTCTCAAAATACCATCATCTGGGCCGTCAGAGATTCAACGTGGGCATACTGCGAGGCTTCGTTCGACTACTCGATCCCGGCATCTGTCAGCGTCTTCTTGGTGCCCAAACACACCATAAGGATATCCATTACATGTTTGCGTTCGTCAGTATCCGTAAGCTGTGTTTCTCCAGATCTTACCCTCTATCGGCTCATCTCCGTTTGGGCCAGCGTCTCGTCATCGGCTCCTAGCCTGCCGTGCTCAAAGCAGAGTCATGGACGGACTCAGCTCCGTAATTGTTCCGCTCTACGTCTACCCCTCAGTAGGCGCGTGGGATCCGTTTCACGATGTGTACGATACGGCACCTTTACTATTGTCGCTACTCATTATACCGGGACTAACGACATGAACTGCTTTCAGGGCATCATCATTCCCTCGCATACACTTTACGGTCGTGGTAAACGTGCATAACGGGCCTGGAGAGGGTGCACTACCAAACGCAGAATACACCGCAGCCATCGAGGCCCTCAACTCGCTCAGTAATGTACGCACTATCGGCTATGTGGCAACCACGTGGTGTACCAGGGACTTGA